GGGGGTTGAGGGTTCTTGGCCCACACCCGGGTCCGGTTGTAAGGGAAGGTTGAGCGGTTTGAGCGTAACCGATGCGGATTGGTAACGGAGGAGGATTGGTCGACTGGGGGACTGCCTCAGATGGATGGAGAGTTGACCTTTGACCCCTCTCTATACAAGAGTGAGCAAGGGAGGCAAGGGCAGCTGACCTCTGGATCTTCTCTGATAGTGCTTTAGTTAGAGACGTCAACCGGAAGACGTCATCTTCTAGTGAGAGTATCCTTGCGTTAAATTCTGACCTGAGAGCATGCTTGATTTCTTCAGCCAGTTGCTCGAAGCCATCCTGTGTGGGTTGTGTCCTCCGAGGCAGAGGATCACTACCCCTTGTTGTCAGTTGAGGAGGTAATCTGATAGCCGGAGTTGTACGACTTCTGGAGACCGCTGGGTGGCGATATTGTGCAAAACAGGCAATTGGGGTATTGTGAGAAGCCACTGAACGAGTGACTGCTCTTGTACGGCTGCCTGTCATGTTGTTGTTTGCTCTCATCACTACATGTGGTGCAGGCACAGTGCTCACCGGAGTTCGGGAGGTCACTGATACTGGGGATTGGACTGAAGCCAGGGGTAGCAGTAGAATAGAGCGTAGTGACTGAGGTGCAGGGTCAGCATCCAAGCTGCTATTCGCAGTTCTCGTTTGGATAATTGAGGTGGTAGGGGCATGAGTAATGGCATCACAGGATGGTGGTGGTGGTAAAGTTGATGCACTTGGGTGGTTTGTCGGAGTACTGGCTAAGGAAATATCCAGGGGTAAGGGAGGTAGGATTTGGACTGGGGTTAGAGATGGCTCCTGCGAGGGGAGGAGATGAGAGGGTTGTTCCATATCAATAGCAATCTGTGGGGAATCGGGTGTAACAGCTCTAGAAACAGGATGTTGTGTAGAGGGTTGGGAGACTGTTGCTGGTAGAGAAGGTGAGTGAGGTGGTTGGGGGGGATGGGAGGGAGAGTGTTGGGAGATTGCTGTTAGTGAGTGTGAGGGAGGAGATGAGGAGCTGGTAATAGCATTTGATTCACATGATTTGGCACCCTGTGACTGTGCCAATTCCCCCCTCCCATGGGTACTCCCCTTCTTCCCCCTCATAGTAGTTGTTGTGGGACGACACTGGTGACAAAGGAACTGTGACTGTTTGGCTGTGCGTTTCGTTAGACGGCGCATTGAATATGTGACCAGTGGTTGCACTGCACGCATTCTACAGTAGACTTCTCATTAGGGGTGCTAACTCCACAGACACACAGAACCTGACCTGGAAGAAGCACTCCGGCGGAGCAGACGCGGCTGCAGCGAGGAGGGGCTGCACGACTTGAAGAGCGGGGCTGGTAGGCTCTGGATGAGGGGGCGGTAGTGGTAACAGCAGTAACCGCAGTGACCACAGCACGTCTTGCGTGGGTGTTTAGAAGACGAGCCGCCATAACGTCGTCCACGTGCACTTAAGCATTTAGGCTTGGCGCACCTTATAACACTACGTAAGTGATATTCACATAATTGCTAAGCAACTTGTATGCACACTGTAAATTATCCGCTGTGTAACAAACATTTGTCACAGCGGCAGAGGATTTTCACACTAGACTAATAGTCTTGGATATGGGACACTGAACAAGTTATGAGACGGTTTGAATACGTATGACAAATAATATCAAATATAGCCACAGACATTACAGAGACTCTCAAAAGATGAACACATTCAGACACATACAAATTCATCTGGTACTTCATCAGAAAACATTCAGTACACACAAATGTTACCAGGTGTTACAAAATACAATAATACATTAATATAATAATACTCAGGTGGCTGCCATAGCACTAGGGCCATAGACCACGCACCCAGAGCAATGGGCGGAACCGTTAACACACGAACATACACCATATGAACATGAGGTGTCTGTCTCACCTCCCAGACACCTCAACTCACCCCTTCCACCAGCGACACCCTGCAGCTCCCCAGACGCAATCTGAGACTGGGTTTGTTGTACACAGGGACTATCGCCGTATAACCTAACCTTTCTTAGCTCCCAAACACCCAAAATAAAATCTTTAACAAGGCCAAGCAAAGAACCAAAATTATCCTCCCACAGTTCACTACCCAATATAAAGGATGCTTTCCTGAAACTATCAAGCGACTGGAAATGCTCAAACCCATCATCCCCAAGCTTCCCCTGCAGGGCAACTAAGAAATTGCTCCTAAGACTACTGTATGCTGGACACTCCCACAACACATGACTCACACTTTCACACTCATCATCACACAACAGGCACTCTTTCACCCCCTCCCTCCCCGAGACCACCGAACCCCCATCTTCCATGTGGTAAGTTCGAAGCCACTTCGCATACTCCGAGTCTTCCAGATCAAACCCCTCCTCGTAACGGGTTTGAAAAAGAGCAATTTGTTCGAGAGTTAATTGTGACGTGCACAATTGTGGGTCACTTTTTGAGCGGACCACTGCTCTGGAGGGTGCTAGTTGACAGTCTGAGATCTCGCCAGGATTAAGAGGGTAAATCCTGCATTTCTTGAAGCCACTATGACATTAACCGGAGTGACAGACAGTGGCCACACTTTAGCTAGTAGTGAAGCTAAGAGGTCAGTGGTTATAACTTGGCCGGGGTTGACAGCAAGGAATTGCTTGCACATTTTGGAAAAATTACCTTTTAAAGATCTGAAGACACCAACATCCAGTGGCTGCAGCAAGTGTGTAGTGTGGGCAGGCAAACAGAGAAGATGTATGTCATTCTCTTTGGCCAATTTTATAACCTCAAGAGAAATGTGAGAGCTATGACCATCTTCTATCAACAAAACGGGGCGTGTAGGAGGAATACTGGCAACAAAAAATCTAAACCATTCCAGACAAAGGACTTGATTGATCCAACCATTATCACTGCATGCAAAAAGCATTCCAGGAAAGCCCCATTTTTCAGTCGCTCAGTTAACCTCTTTCTTGGATATATGAGCATAGGAGGAACAGAAAAACATGATGCCGAAACGCAAGTGACAACTGTGGGGGTCTTTCCTTTCTCTGCCGATGCCACCTCCCACACATTATGTCGGCCAAGCTTGGTTACTACCTTACCAGGTTTATGCACAACTGATATGCCGGTCTCATCGACATTGAATATTTGCATGGGCTTTGCAAGCAAATTCAGACGGGCACATATTGCACCGAGCTTAGCAAAGAAGTCAGCGATTACTTCTTTGTTTCCAGCTGCTGCACGGTCAAATGAAAGTGGCTGAGCAGAGCGAAGAGTCAAATTGGGGTGTCGACACTGAAACAATTCAAACCATGAACACCCTGCTGAGACATTCTGAAAAGGATGTGGCCTTCCAGATTTCGTATGCTATCCGCATAACATCTTGCCTAGTCAATCCAAACCCCATATCGCTGATGTCTATAATGTAATTCACTAGCTTTACCTCCTCCTCTGGCGTCAAAACAGTGGGTGGCCCCGGCTTGCAATCGACGCCCACAGCACCCACCACCCGCCTGCGCAAAGTCTCTGCAGGAACGTTGCACTCTCTGGCGGCCGCACGTAGGCCGAAACCGTCTTCGATCATTTTGATGGCAGCCATCATATTTTCATGGCCCAGAGCGTACACGTCCAGGTGCCCTCGGTGGTTTGGATTGCGCCATGTTTCCTAGCATGTGGCGTATGCAACCGTTTTCCATTTAGAGCACACACTCCATTGTGCGCATGTGCAATACGAAGCGTAAACGAGCTGGACTCGGGAAGCGTGTAAACGAGGCAAGTGTAAGCTACATTAGTGTACTCGGTCACAAAACATCAAAGGAAAAGGAGTGGTTTATTTGCCATATTGAGCACTGCTGCATTGTTCACGCAGTGCTTTATTATCCCTCCAGTGCTTTATTGTGCACAATACAGCTTCCTAATATGGCTCATAGTTTAGACAACACTGTTTGAATGTACAAATGCAGAGAGTGGCAGATCAGTTGGAAATGCGAAAGGCACGAAACGGCATACACCAAATATGCGTCATGGCTCATCAACGAAACCGAACCGACGGAACCGAATCGGTAGAAGAGGAGGGCCCTTTGGCTGCGTTGTCTAGCTCCGCAGTACTCACGGGCTCAGCAAAACGAGATTTGTGGTGTCTCGCAGAGGGCGCGCTTCCTTGCCAAGAGAGAGGCGTAGCCTTTTCTTTGGAGGAGGAGGCTGTACCGACGTTTCCTCCGGCTCCTCCGTCCAGTCTCCCATGCCCAAGTCAAACGCTTCGTAGCATCGCGCTGACTGAACCGCCATTTTTCTGCTTCGCTTTTCAAACGCTCCGTATTTTCACACTAAATCACGTAATGTACCCGCTTATGCTCGTGCACTACCAGATATAACTTACTCGGAATGCTCTACGCATTCCTCGTACGTTATATCCGGTAATGCACTCGCGCGGGTACATTAACTAATACATAATGTGCACCAATAACATGAATTCCGCGTATTGTCTCATAATACCTACTGTCTCATAATGTGAGCTTCTACCTTATCGGATTAATATAGAGCAACTTCTCTTAGCGTTTGGGCAGAGGTGAGTGGTATCATCTCTGATTTTTACGCGCTGTTTACTGGGCACTAGACTGTGCTCTCTGTGATGTTCAGATTTTGTGCCATGGACCAGGAAACTCCTTATGTAGCATGTCATGTACTTACCTTTGAACACAACATCTAGAATGATTGGTTTTTGTCAAATTAACTGAGCCATTGAGGCTGCTCAAAATTTCCATCAACGTTGGCATCCGGCCAATAGAGGTAGAGTGTGGGAATGCTCTCGCGCTGAAACTGCTCATCTTTGCTTTCGAATTCGTATTCAACGTTCAATTACCCGTGCTTGTGCAAACATTCTCAATACAGTGTAGTGTTAAGACACTATGTTAGTTGATGTGATCTACCATTGTACCCAAAAACACCATGGCTGACGTGGGTGCATGCATTGTGCATTATATACTTGTTTTCTCTCTAGGGAGCTGTGCCATGCGTGGAAGAAAGCAACTCTTTCTTCGCTTCCTCCTCAAGATGTTTTTGTTTCTCCAAATGCAGAACCCCGGGTAAGTAGTGTAATTGTGATTATTTATGACACTATCAGCTGAATCCGATCTATTGAATTGTACACCTGTAAGGCATGGATCAAGCTGTTTGTAGCATTCATAATGCTAGTAAGCATTTGCAAAGTAACCAGAGTCACGGTGGGTGTTTACTGAAGTTCGTGACACACACAATTAGTGTGCATTGGAGCCTGCAAATGCTATGGCTATTGCTTTACTGTTGCTTGTACGGTACAGAACAAACTGAATGTGACATTATTTTGTGAAAGAATGCAATTATTTTGTCAGATTAAACCCTTATGTATTGCCACATTCCCTTCGGCACAGTAATTGATTGTTAAATTTCAACAGACTTTCTTCCTGGATGCTATCTTTAAACCTGGAAGGTTTTCAATATCTGCTATACACAAAGCCTTGGAGGTACGTATCATGTTTTGTGTCTAATGAATGTACCGTATAATTGTTGTTTCTACCGTATAATTGCTGAGTCGCTACATTATTTTTAGCGCAGGGTGACAGTGTGTGTGTTCGCACTGGCTTACTCCACTTTCTTTATATACGTTGAGACAGAAGAAGTCACAACGAAGTGCATGTATGGACTCTGCGTGCTATCTACTAGTGTAGCTAGCCTGTGTCAGACTGTCTGCGAGCTACTAGAGGGAGACAACGAGTACTGATAGCCCATCTCATCAATTAACTGTGCCGTACATGCGCAGTATGCCGAGGGTATGTTACGTTGTGCTATTTTGGCACGTGTTTCTTCGTTGTAGTGTACGTAAGATCCTCGACGGTAACGTACTTGCCATCTCCTGCTCGACTTCTTTGTTTGCAGCTGAGGTAGCAGCATCCCCAGCCACCAGTAGAAGAGGGGAGTCACTCTTTTCTCGATCGTTTAGCCAATGGTAGAGAGACATAGCGTGAGAACAAGCACGGACGACAACCGTGTGGCGGTTAGGCCTGAGCAGAATATTCACTTTTAGTTCCTCATTATTCAAATATTTTATTCTAGGAATATTATCCACCTAATTTCTGCCTATTATTCACCTATTATTCTGGTGAAATGTTCATAAAAACAAATGTGAATGTATGGAAAAAATAAACACATGACAAATTAACGATTACTGAACTGCAACATTAACGATGCTTCAATATAATCCTGGAGTGACGACTTTTGTCTCTCTCCAAAAGAGTTCCTTAGAAGTGAGAAGATCCTTTCAGAGGCTGCCGAAAATGGTTGCACCAGTAGAACACTTTTCGCTGCCCTGCTCCAGTTCGGTAAATTCGTTTCGTGTTTTTCCAAAACAGAAGAGGGTCATATGATGGGTCAATGTCTTCTGCTAATACAATATACTGAGGAAACTCCTCTTTCAATCCAGGTATGAAGGGGAAGAGAAATGAAAGAATCTAACCTGGATTCATCTCACTCAGCTTCGATGGAGAAAATAATCGTGCAGCTTTAAATGTCTCTAAAGGACCTTTCATGTTGGTGGACCAGTGCTGGAAATAATAGGTCTTCCTGGTTGAACGCAAGACTTGGCATGATCTATTAAGTGTTCTTCCATAACTGTATCTCCTGAAGAAAGGTTAGAGGCCACAGCAGCAAGATTATTGTAGTTAGCTTGTCTTGAAGCAGCATTTAAAGAGCTTATAGTTTCGTAACAGGATAGAGCTAGTGGTCCATCTCCTTCCAACACATAGGTAGCCTTTACGAAAGGTAAAGCAGCATCAACAGTAACTGCTAGCTCGACCATGAGATAAGCCTTCTCTTGGGGGTTTTGAAGCATATCTAGGATTGTAGCTGGAGAGATGCTTGTGTTTTTTTCAAGGAATGGTTGTACATCGCCAAACAGCTCTGTTTCATTACCTCAAATTTACTCCACCATCTTGTTGAGGAGTACCCATGATATGCTTGGCCAGTCTTCTCCTTCCACAAAAACATTGACTTCGGACTATGGCTAAAGAGACTTATCCACCAAACCATAAAGGACGAGAGATGTGGGGTAGTGAAATTTCCCCTAACTAGGTCAAGTGTATGCGAAAAGCACCCTACATCAACTAATTTAGGGAACACGACTGTCAGCGTTCTTAAGGCAACCATATTACAAGCAGCACGGTCATGCATGGCTGCTACGAGAAGATCAGAGCCTATGCTGTATTGGGCTGAGAGTGTATTAATCAGCTCCCTCGCAATTTCTTCCCCAGTCATGCTTTTCACAAGTAACTGCAGGCGAATACGGTGCTGCTGAATAACAAAGGAATCATCAACAAATCGAACGACAATGGCCGTTGCCTCCCCCAGCCTGGTGGTACCATCAAATATGACAGACACTGACTTGCCCAATATTTTAGCCTTAATATCAGCCTTCTCCTGCGTGACTATATATGGCACCAAGCCAGTCATGTTGCGACGATCTGTCAACGAACATGTTTTCCTCAGGTAGATCTCGAAAGGCGCTTAGCTTTGTAAGAGGAACAGCTGCACGTAAAAATGTCTTAAGCACTTTTAATCGATACACACGTTGTTCCATTGGGAGCGTTTCTCCAGCAGGGTGGTTAATTTTATCATGGGCTTTCAGACACTTAGCTATATCCCTCTCACGCGCTTCTCTTAATTGAAGCCTCTCTTGTCCGCGCTTATGTTTGTTGGATGCCACGTGATTTGGAACAATATTTTCCCGTAAACTTAGTTCCTCACGGCAAGCATTACAAAACAGTTTCTTCCCCGTCAGAGTCAAACACTCTTTTGAAAATTGATTAACTCTCTCTCGTGGACTGACCGTCTTTGGCTCACTAACACCACTACCACGGCTTTCCGTTGTCCAGTCGGCGGGTTGCAAATAACTTGTGCGCAATAAATTCAGCCTATTATTCAAATATTTTTTTCGCGAATATTCTGCGCAGGCCTAGTAGCGGTATGTCGAACTTTGACCTCTTATAGAAAAACTTTTGGCAGACCATTAATTTTTGCAATGTGTTTCTAAACGGCCAAATTCGCTAAATTTAATGGAGTGCCAATGTTTCCAGTTTTACAGTATGTGATCCGCTACGGGAAAAGGGCCCATTTGACACGGAAATACTGTTTTGCTTAAATGTAGAAGATCTGCTGTACACTGCACTGTAAGTGTGTCAACAATAGCGCATACAGTTTGCAGGATGTCCGGAAGCACACGAGCACCAACAAAATGCTGAGATTATCACCTTCATATGTTCCTCGCGTGCAAAGGGGTGTGTAGTTTAGCAATACTATGTGCAATGTTATGTTGCATCTGTGGTGTATATACAGCTCTTTAGACGGTGGCATGACGAAACAAACCACACCTCTCCCACAACTGACACGTGGCGAGTTTAATGACAATGAAATGGCAGCTTTGTAGCTAACAATGCTGTATATTATGCACTTACATCATTGAATTGCGCGCATGCACAATAAACCGGCACCATCTTGAGTGGCAAAAAGCGGCCGCAAGGTATGAGTGGCAAACCGGGAGAGCTACATCGTAGCTTTTGCTAGTTGTAAATCCAAGCACCCTTATGCATGACGTATTGTGGTGTAAATAAAAGCTGAATATGTTACCAGGTTCTGTTTATTACTTGTACGTTGATCAGCATTTTGTACCTGGCTGTACAATTAGCCATCTCTGGCCAGAAGTCCCAATACCCAGACCAAGAGCCAACTAGAGCCAACCTAGTTGTGTCAACTGGCCGAATTTCAATTTATTCCTCTCTATCCAGTGATGCGACCGTCATATATACATACCGTGATGTTGTACGTGATTCTAAGTACCTAAACAGCAAAAGTTATTAACCCTTGGTGCGCTTGCGCAGCAAGTGTTACAGTACGTGGTCTGTGTGTGTCTGTTTATCACTAGCTATATTGGCAATACAGGCTTCTAGGCGGCCCATGAGTAATACTAAAGACTTCAGAACTGCGAGACCGTGAAAATATGAGTGGCGCTTTTCCTGAAATGACTGCATTTGGAAAATAGTGGTGTGAAAACAAGCGAAAAAGTGAGAGATTCAGGCTGATGCACTGCTTAATATGTGACACAAACCAAGAGTACTACGCCTGGTTTAAGCTTGCAACACAGGAGGCCCTCTCAAAACTACGTGACCACAACGATTAGTTGACCAATTACCTTGTATAGAGCTAACATATGGCGTTTGTTATTCATAGTCGTATCTGCGTGTTTCAGTGCTGTAACACTTGGGGACAAACACTCGCGTATGGGGCGCCGTATCTATGTAAAACCAATGCGAATGCATTCTACAGTCTCTGAGCTGCGGCAATGTATTATAGTCGCTGTACGTCACAAAATGCGGTCGGTACGCCAGCTTGTATGTAGCGCATTCTGTCGTATTATGCGTCTTTCGTGCGTAACTATTCGGTAAGCGTGCGTTGCTCAAACGCATACATCGCCGCAAATAGCGCTAAGAGTGCGTATTTTTTGAAGAAGCAGATATTTCCCCCGCAAGACTTGCTTAGGTGCTTGATTTAAAACCTGCTCTTGCTTTTGTTGTATTTTCTATTCGAGATATGCAGATATTCAGAAAGTGCATAACATTTGATACCTATTTTTTAGCATAGGTATATATTTCCAACATTGATGTGCTCTGAATTGTCGCCGCAACCTTGTACTTCTCTGTGAATACTATGGCATGCATGTGTTAACAACAGCGAGGTTGAGAGGCAAGCCAAAGCAAACAAGTCAACTACGTCCAGGACAGCTCTTTCCTTTCAAGGAAGAAGGAAGAGCTGCCCTGCGTCAGATTTGAACACATGACACTGTGCATTCTAGGCGAGTGCTCTACGAACATATCAAGTGCAAAAGTCACGGAGTGTAGAGTTCTATTGTTAAAAAGTGTATTATTGCTGTGAGACTAGTGATAGCTTTCTGAGGCAAAATGTGCCTAATACCACCCTGGACTCCAGTGCTTTGTTGAATAAGATTCATGATGTGGGCCTAAGTAGTGTGTCGACGTAATATCCAATGTAATTGTTTGTCCTTATATCAGTATGCATGATGTGCTAAAGTGCCTATTCTTCGTATATTTGTGTCTCTGATTTTCCAATGTTTAGCTCTATGGGATCGCAGTAGGTAATACGTCGGTTCAGCAGTTAAAGGAGATTGCTACAGCTGCAACAGAACGTGAGGTAAAAGACAAAATTGTTCATGTGAGTTGGTTTGTTTAGTAATTGTCTTCACATTTGTAGCTGCAAACATCTGCCAATTCGACTCAGTTGCATCACGAGCAGTTTAGAGAACTTCAAATCCAGTGTTGGACCAAACTCTATAGCTGCTGTTGTCAGTACCAGGAGGTATGGTTTATCTCTACCTGTATGATGATGTTCTACCCTCTTTTATTTTTCTTCCTTGCAGCTAATGAACCACTTTGTAGGATTGTTTGTAGATCCTGCAACCGGGATGGTGGGCCTGTGCAAAGAGGGTGGACTGTCTTTCATGTATCCTGTGCCTTCTACCGACTCCCTTACCTATGAGCACCTAGGAGTGTGTCTTCAAGGTAGGGTGGTCAAACATGAACAAAAATCTACCCCGTGTGTGAACGTGTATGTTTTTGATTGGTAAAATTGTTACAGTACACACCAAAAAGTTCCCACTACGGCGGCTAAGGTTATCCACCAACGGATTTCTTCTCCTTCTTTTCCTTCCTGCAAAAAGTTAAATGAGATATAGATGGTATTTTAAAACAAGACAATAAAACCTTGTTAGGGAAGGGAGACTGAAGCTTGATCACCTGCGACTCAACTGGGCGGGTGAGGGGGGACGTCTTCTTCATCTGAATGGACACCTGCGCCAGGTGGGTGGGTGAGGGGACATCTTCATCTGAATGGACACCTGTGCCAGCTGGGTAGGTAAGGGGGACGTCTTCTTCACCTGAATGGACTCCTGCGCCAGCTGGGTGGGTGAGGGGGACACCTTCTTCATCTGAATGGACACCTGTGCCAGCTAGGTGGGTGAGGGGATGCCTTCTTCATCTGAATGGACACCTGCGCCAGCTTGGTGGGTGAGGGGGATGCCTTCTTCATCTGAATGGACACCTGCGCCAGCTGGGTGGGTGAGGGGACATCTTCATCTGAATGGACACCTGTGCCAGCTGGGTAGGTAAGGGAGACGTCTTCTTCACCTGAATGGACTCCTGCGCCAGCTGGGTAGGTGAGGGGACGTCTTCTTCATCTGAATGGACCCCTGTGCCAGCTAGGTGGGTGAGGGGGATGCCTTCTTCATCTGAATGGACACCTGCGCCAGCTTGGTGGGTGAGGGGGACGCCTTCTTCATCTGAATGGACACCTGCGCCAGCTGAGTGGGTGAGGGGGACGCCTTCTTCATCTGAATGGACCCCTGTGCCAGCTGAGTGGGTGAGGGGGACGTCTTCTTCATCTGAATGGATACCTGCGCCAGCTGGGTGGGTGAGGGGGACGTCTTCTTCATCTGGCTGGACACCTGTGACTCCAGCTGGAGTCTCATCTCTATCTTGGCATGTGACTGTATAGTAGCTATATGAAAGTAAGAATAATGAGGTGAAAAGTAACTCACTCCTTTTTATCTCACTCCGCAAATCATCAGGAAGAACACTGAGTTTTATTGCGCTACACTTTCTCTTCCATGCATTGACTTTTCTGCATATCCTGGTATCAGTTGATGCTGGTGACAAGAAGTCTTTTGAAACGTTCTTTGTCCGCCCCATTTGGTTTCTTTCGATCGCTTCTTTTATGCTACTGCAAGTGGCAGTTATTACACTCGCAACATCTTCCATAACCAGCGCAACAACCTCTGTCTGCTCAATGTAACAGTTTGTGCGAATGTATTGCAGCACCTACAATATGCAGTGAATGAATGATGCAGTTGAAATAGAATTCTCCCTAAATTATACCTCTCCTGTAGGCTTAGTTTTGCTGAAGGCTACAACCTCCCTCAAAGTGTTTAGCACAATATCCGCTCTTGGTTGGGGCACTGTGGGTTTTGGCAGTTTCCAGTACGTACATGAAGACTAACACAGCGATGTGACCCTGTATGCTCAAGGAGCTGCATCGCAATGATTTTAGTATGGGTATATACACGATAGATACAACCAACCTTTTTGACAAAAAAAAGCAGAATTGCCCAGTTGGTCTGGCTTCTTCCTGTAAAGGTCCCCCTCAAAGACTCTTTTAGGTCTTTGACTTCCTTTCTTCCATCTTTTGAGCTCGGTAGTTTTCCAAGCCTAATTGCCCATCCCAACATTGCTGACATTTCATCTGGAGGACGAGTATTGAACAAATTCTGCATTTGCTGGACTCACCTGAACTGAGAAGACTCTGTAACTCCGAAAAATTCTCCTCTTCTTCCTCATTTGTTGGGGCCACTGAAGGTTTCTTGAAAAAAATGTTAATTGACCTGCTTCTGATCCTGTTACCAATCACAATAATACATCACTCAAACATCAACCATAGCTCATATAGCATGATAGTAAGGTGTCACTTAAGTTGTTAGTTCACCTTTCCTCATCTTTCAAACTGGAAGTTTGTTGCAATTATTGGTAGTGATTCTGGTACCAGCGATCCTCTGCGCAGGTTTGCATTTTTGCAAGTATTGTAGAGATCAATAACTAGCTCATTAATATCCACTCCAGATCCAGACTTAGGTGGATCATCGATCGCGAATGGAAGGGTAGAAATTGATGATCTCTCTAGAAAAAATGCAACCCCTTCACATACATTGAAGATACCTGTGAACCTATAGGGGGGGAATGCTTAGTTTAACAGCGTGAAATACTAAATAAGTTTACCACAAAATGAACAGTGCCGCTCTTATAGAAGTTGACTTCCCAGTTTCAGCAAGCCCATGCACACAACAACTGGACATCCGAAAAAAGCTTACATGGACGCCTGTGCTGCCGAAAGACAGTTTGGCAACGCTACATTATCATCTTCGCCCGTATGGAACGCTAAACGTACCAAAAAGGCTTACACATCACGGTATTGTACGCGAATAAATGAGACATCCTGTCCGGTACATTAGACGTCACTGAATGACGGTATTTTACGGGTAATATCAATGGGATGTCAGACACACGTAAGACGTCTTCAGAGATGCCGCAATATCACGACCAAATGGCGTAACACGCCGCGTCTTCATAGACGTCGTGCGTTCCAGGTAAGACGTCACGTTACGCTTAGTTATACTTAGCGCAGTGCGGTTCTTGCGGTCATCGTACGCGATTACGCAATCGCTGAGTTAGGGATAATGCATGGCTTCGAGATTGCTCTTGCATTTCCCAACTTGGTTGGAGTCCATATCAGGCGGTTCGATCAATTTGTTGATGATGTGCTTTGGTGGTCCCCTTGAAGCGTTGTACAAAAGTTGATCGACTGAAAAACAGTCCCAGAACCCAGCATGACAAGCAGGTACACCAGAGTGAAGACTATTAAGAGCTGCTAGAGGTTTCGTTAGGAATTCATGCCTGGCAATCTGGATGATCAAGCTCCGGACATTCTGTGGTGTTGGTCTATGTCGGCAACAAAATTGTTTAAAGATCGATATCAAACTTGTTGTCATGTCATCCTGAAACACGACCGTCGAGCTACATTTTTCGAGTGCCTCTTTTACAATGGCTTGATCATGGCAACTCAAGAAATCTTTAAATGATGTAATAAACATTGATTCTTGGAATATGAACAGATGTGCTAAGCACGAGAGCCGCAAAAGTAGGAAAACCCAAACGCACTGGGATAAAGCCACATGACTTGAATCCATAAGAAAAAATAGCTCCAAGAAGTGGGAAAAGCTCCATGTCCACATGCGGGTGTACTGCGGGTATCAAAGCGTCAGAGGCCTTTTCGTAGGCCTTATCCCAAAAAGCACTGAACATATCTCTGCACACCCCCCCTGTGTCCACGGCCTTTTCCCCGACAAACGTAATTCGCATGACTAACTACTTATTTTTCTCTTTCGAACAGTCCATGAAGAGAGGGAGAGATATTCCATGGATACTCATCATGGCCTTCCTCATTGCATTAGAAGAAATAATGTATTCGAAGACGTAATTTCCCTCTACATTGAAAAAAGCGAAAGGTTATTAATGGAGTATCCTCAGTGAAATAATGAAAAGCACTAAAGTGTAAATCCCTGGTAAACTGTGTATGCGCGGTACCCCTAATTGATGGGTTGGGCCACGCAACTCGGTCTGCGACCGTGCCAGTTTCTCACTCTTGAATGCAGTCGTTTCAGCACAATCACTATTTTATAGTATATGTTATACGATGGCGGTGCGTGGTGATAGGGCACTCTACTAACTCTATGTTGTTTGGACTAGCTGGAATTCCTTTGATCTTACTCTCAGTCATCATCATTAGAAATGCATGCACAAATAACAAACATAGAACAGTACTTCTCATATCCATACCAGCTTGGAGGATATCTCCCTCATGTGCCATAATGAGTTGGGACCTGGAATGTAAGCTGGCCCCTCCATCGGAGAGCTGTGTGGAGGGGGTCCAACTCTCCTGTGACCTCCTCAACCTCTCCCTCCTAACTACAAAACCCATGGACTGAAGCCTCCCCCAAACCATAACTTCACCCATTGCAGGAAATTCTCTTTGCAAGTGCAAGAGAACAGACCTTAGCTCACCATCCGAAATATTCTCTACCCTACTGTCTTGAAGGCCATACTCCAACCGTCTGCGATACACCGTATTTCGTGAAACGCCAAGTATTTCTGCAATTTGCGTCTAGGTGAAAGACATTGAAGCAAGGTGAATTAGCTGGTATTACGAAGCGTGGACGTCCGCAGGCAGAATTCTCAGTAGGAGCGGAGTAAGCTGCCTCACCACGCCCTCTCCCTGACATTACCTCGTCCAAATGTCTTTCACAAAAAGAAGCAATCTCACGGACGCACTCAGCCAACTCAGAAATCTCAGAGGCGTACTGTGCAGAAACTGTAGCCTGCTGCTCGCTTCTTGGTGTGACCGTCCTTTGTGGGTGACCCTTCAATGGGCTCATCAGTTGTGAGGTCTACTTCAGCTGCTTCTGTAAGCTCCACTTTTGTAGACTTTCCAGTGAGTCGCTCATATACTGAGGATGATGCATTTGCGTTGGCTCTTCCAGAAGTCTTGCCCAGACGTTCCTTCTGAGGTCAAAAGAGGAAACACTTACAATCAAGGATGATAACCTCATAACCAACTTGCTCGGTGACTTTCTTTGTTGCCGCCGGAGGCACAACTCTGTATTCAAGTTTAACACTTTTCGCTTTCATCATTTTGATTGTTCTTTGACAAACTCACGACTGGGATAATCTTACTGGATGACTTCTAAAAATGCGGGGGGTAGAAAGCTTTGTTCGGCCAGCAGCAGCAGCCGGCTCTTTGTTTTCTGATGCTTCACGGTCTAAGCTTACAAGGAGGGAGGGGAGAGTACGAATCACAACTTTGATGGCCATATCATGTGATAACCATCACACATCCTTTGCTAGCTTGCACTTTATACTTTTTTCTCTGGAGTCAGCATGATGAACACAATAGGCATTAAGCTGCGTACATTCCCACACTCTGCAGAAATGTGACATGTGTGTAGTGAACACATGAAAACCAATGTCACGTGACATGAGAAATGCCATAGTTCTCTGTATAAGTATATGTTGTACGATGGCGGCGGGTGGTCTAGTCGTGCTGCTGAACCATTCAATCTTTCTGTCATCACTGATGCTCCATCGCTAGTGAATCCATGAAGCCTTGTGATATTTAGTGATTAATCTCCCAGATTTTTCAAAATAGCTTTTTCGGTTGTTTCAGCTCTTCCATGGTGAATATCGTGAATGAGCAAGAAGGATGTTTTTACACCTTATTCGGTTATATACCGAGCTATAAGTACCTGCTGCTTAAGTACAGCAAGATATGTCGACTCGTCGGTCACGAGAGCAAAGAACTGTTCCTCTATAACTGAAGAAAGACACTGAATAAGCTCTCGAACGCTTTGCTCACTCATGTAGTGAGCGTTTTTACCCAGATTCAGCTCAAGTTGAACCGCAAGGTCCGCCAGAGAAGAAAACTTTGTTGTATGAGGCACTTCCTCCTTAGCCAACCAATACATCATTTTCATAAGTGCTTTGCTGTTGCTCATGACGTGGGAAGAGAATGCTTGTACTATTCCACCGTCATGTTGAGAAGCTAGCCTGTCTGCCTCGCGTACTTCTGCATCTCGGTGCATTGACGAACACTTGTGCCCCTATAGCATGTCTTTTCTCAGGTAAGTACATGGTTTATCTCTCCAGGTGGCCATGCGGTTACGTTGTTTCGCACCATAGAGCCGACAAATGGAACAAAACAGACTATCACGCCACTCTCCAAGTTGCTGTATTCACTATAGACGGGGACATGCCATGGGAACTCCTTTCCAACATACATCATACTCTATCTTGTGCTTCTTTGCTTTCTGGCTGCCCGTTCCGGTCTGGCTGTTCGCGCAACGCTTCATCTCTCCCAAAATAGCCACCGCACCCAATTGATTAGCTGGCCTTACACCGCGACGCGGCACCGTGGTACCACACTTTAGCGAGAACCCTGCAACGCATAGCCCAACCCATCAAGTAGCGGTACTGCGCATGCGTATGGGTTCAATATTCTGGCAGTGAAGGTATCAGAGGTTACACTACGTGAAGGGCGATCCTCCTGCGTTGAGTAGCAGCCATGATTTGCATCACGATTTGCACATCTTATATCGTCTTCTCGTCATTGGAATCTTCACAAACTCTATGTCATCAATAGGTAATATTTTAGATTACCCTCCCATTGAAAGATACTTCACACCTCCCCACTCCCTCACAATAAAACTTTCCAGTCGATAAGATTCGCCCTTTGAAATTTATCCGATTTGTTCGTCCCAAAGTTGCTTTCCCAGTAGAACTAAGGTCTGCCACCGAAAACTTCTTGCCTGTGCGAACCGCTTCCGGGTCACTCGACTTATGAACCTTAACATTGACAGTTTCTTTTGCAAACACATACTTAGACTGCAGACCATCAAGCGCTATATATCCTCCTGAGTATCAAGAACATCTGTCTTCTTGTCACTTTTCTACCACATTTTAGCAATGCATTTTGTCTCTTCTCCTGGAGTGTTTGAACACACAATTTTTTGTTTCAATTGCTCTCTTCTTTTTCAGCATGTCAGACATTTTCTTCTGTTGCTTTGAGTCGAAGCCAACAAAACTCGTTATTTACTGCTGCCATCACTTAATTTACCTTTCGAAATAGTTATGTTGCGTCCTTTCTTAACCGATGAAATGGATGTCCAAACGTAACACTTGCACTAGGAACGAACATTTTTACCTCTTCAAAAGTACGTTTTGCAATCTTGCTTATTCAACACTAAATGTATAGTTGGTTACACTTCCCATGCTCGACGTTGCGACAAGCATGTCTGTTGTTCTTCAGCTGTTTTGGACGCTAGACGCTTGCTTCTGGGGGCTCTGTTTCTCGATAGTCGCTGTTCTCGAGCTACTACCTCGCTTTCAGCTGCGTGACAATTCCTAGCGTTGTCGTTGTTAGTGGCAGCGGGAGTATTTTCCGGTGTCTGGCTGTCTGGTGTAGAGCTTTGCCTGTGCCCAGTATCCATGTCAAACTGTGTTCAAGACTGAGTACAAAATACAGCAAGACTTGTGTACAAGAATGAACAGCACGAAAATAGATCTTGTTATCCTGGACCTATGTACACACCACACCACTGCATCACTCAACTCTTTTTGTGCCATCCCTTGAGTATCTTGTGGAGGCTCAGTGTTTATGTTTACCGGGTGCATTGGATAAAATAGGAGCACTTTCACCATCACCTCACCCAACATATCTTCTTGAAGCCACTAGTCATAGTCTTCTACTTCTTTAAATTTCATGATCATGCTTTTTAAGCTAACTTCCACTTACTCGTCGCGTATATATTTTCTTATTTTATGCTGTAGCTTCCCTAATACGTTTGTGACAAACTATGTTGCTTAATCAATCTGTCTTTCCATAAGATGATATACAGTGGAACCTCCGAACAAAGGACACTTTGGGAAAAGGGCTTTTGTCCTTTCTTCGGAGGTTTTCCCTAATCAGAGGTTCACCATTATTTTGGTGCTATTTTCATGTATAGGATGTTAAAATTGTTGTGGGCAAATGTTTATGCTTGTGCTGATCATTGAAAATAGCTAAACATGTAATTTTGTCCGTCTTCTTATGCAATTCATAGAAAATCCATTGTCAATTGTAGTGACAGGATGGTATCACCCTTTCTTGTATCATCATCTTATCGAGAGTATGGGTTCGTGCATTCATTTATGTATTTAGTGTAGCTGTCAAGCGGGAACGGGCTAGCTGTGCTACTATGCTGTCGCTATAGAGAGACAAGCGGCAGCCATTACCTTCCAACCTGGCAACTTTGCTTGAGCGGTGATTGTGGGGCCAGACATTCCCTTCAGCCCCGCGGGATGTTGTCTGGCCCAGTGAGACTATCATTGCGCAGAGGGTGATGCCCAGACAATCGATTGGTCGATGTCTACGGATGCGCACTAGAAACCACTTGGTGTCATTTTGAGTGTTGTTTCCTGGTGTCCTCTATTTAGAGGCAATTTTGTGTTAAAATGACGCCGTTGGGAGCGTCCGGAATCTGAAGCGTCCGCTTCTCAGAAGTTGCTGAAGTATTGCAACTATGGTAATTTCAATCCTGTCCGCTGTAGGGAGGTTGTCCGCTTCTCGGGTTTTGACTGTAAACAATTGACTGCATTTTTACCCGTACGTAGTACTAGACATTTGTTCACATTTTTATCACTGCTATACTAGGAGACGTCTCATTACACGACAGTGAAAACCTTTTGGAGGCTGCTCGACTTACCAGAGACCAGGTGTGACCTTAACTTCTTCACGGGTATACACAAAACTATTGGGTGGATAGGAATTTTTAGCTACTGTCACATACTGGCTTATAACCATACAAAGCCCACTACTGACAAATACTCGCCCGTTCACTGTTGGGAAATCCCCTGGAGTAACCACAGTAGCTTTGGGGGTGTGTCCCACGCTGCGTGCGCAGCTGCTGCTTTTTCTGTACGCGAACGTGTAAAGTGCCTTATCTACTGCTGCTGAACGGCTTTCTCGGATTGATTTGCCATGCTAATGCCTCTTTAGCAAGCAAGAGGCTTGTTTGGTAAGCTATTTACCTCTATCTTACTAGTGGTAAGCACTACAAAGTAAGTGTTAGACTATTAGCTGCTTACATTCGAGCGTGCTATACTAACACAGTGCGGTAGAACGTTTTTTCGGCTGCCGCATCTGAGTCCAAGCCTAAGGTTGCTGGCATTATAATGTAATAGGCGAGTGGTAGCGAGCTAACCTAGTGGTCCGAATGGTGCGATTTTTCTTATTTGTTTATATAATATTTGTATACGTCCGTACGTCATGCTACTGTGCATGTGTCAGGATTACGCGCTTCTTTTTATCCCAAAAAAATTCTTACATGCTGCCTGTCATGTCGATGCGAAACTAGCCAGCAAGGGAACTACCGTCCATTCAGCGGCATGGGCGGCTTCGCAAACAATCACGACCTTTGACCCCGACATACAATGCAGTTATTAATAAATATGTAAGTCGTCCCACATTGACTTTTTGAATTTTTATGGAACTTACCAATGGATGAATGAAAAGCACTAAAGTGCAAACCCTCGGCGAACTGCGCATGCGCGGTACCGCTAATTGATGGGCTGGGCTATTTGTAGTATGCGTTTACTCGTGGAGTAGCTCGCGAAGAGTCTGACACGGGCTAGCTACAGTATTAGATAGCATGCGGGAGTCGATACATGCCCTTCGTTGTGACTTCTTGTGCCTCCAAGGTACACAGAGCAGGCGGACCCGGTCGAGGTAAGCCTGTGCTAATTTGCATATTGGCTTGTTCACTTGGTTTTCATGCCATAACTTCTGAACGCGGCACTTTTACAAAAATCACCATTTTAAAAATGAAGCGGGTGTAGCGCTGAACCCGTTGGTGTCGCTATTTTACCTGTTTGTCGCGAGTGGTGCAGAAAACGTGGACAGACGGACAGACCAAGTACTGTAACCCTCGCTGCGCATGCACGCTGCCGAGGGTTAATTAGTTGTATGTTCAAGAAAACTCTAGAGACCTCTATAAAAAATTTAAGTCACAGTTATGATATTGCCATGGCACATGTAACTACTCCAACAAAGTGGCAGTACAGGGTAATATTCAAACAGGGTGCTTATGAATTATTAATTACCTCAGCTTTCAGGCTGAAAACTACTCAAGTTTCAAAGTACTTCCTGTTGGGAAATCCCCTATTGGCCTAAAGCTCAAGTGCTACCGTATAAGCAGTGTATTACAGTGTAACCACGCTAGTTGCATGTGCAATGATTCTACACGCCCATTTTCGGGATTTTTCAATCCGGGCGGAGCGCCTGGTAGTTATAATGCTGCGGGAAACACTGAAGTGCGTGTTAAAGAGTTGATAATGTGCATACATAAGCCTCACATATACAGCTACAAATGTATGTTATTAAATGTTTTGCAAGGTAAGTATATGTTGCAGATAGGACAGCATGAGCCCTGTAAGGGCGAATGCTGTCCTGTCTGGGTACTGCAACAGATTTGTTGGATATCCCTAGGCAAACGACATGTATGAACCCAACCGCCTATGACACTTGATTATCACTCAATACTGAATACAGTAGGTTCCCCATATAAGCAATATCATATATATATATGAACGTAATTCCATATGAGTTCCCAGTTGCACTGGGTTTGTTCCATGAGTTGCCATGGTTCCTCTGGTTCCACTGGGTTCCCTGAGTTTCCATGGTTCCACTGGGTTCCTGAGTTCCCATGGTTCCTCCGGTTCCACTGGGTTCCCTGAGTTTCCATAGTTCCACTGGGTTCCCTGAGTTCCCATGGTTCCTCTGGTTCCACTGGGTTCCCTGAGTTTCCATGGTTCCACTGGGGTTCCTGAGTTCCCATGGTTCCTCCGGTTCCACTGGGTTCCCTGAGTTTCCATAGTTCCACTGGGTTCCCTGAGTTCCCATGGTTCCTCTGGTTCCACTGGGTTCCCTGAGTTTCCATGGTTCCACTGGGGTTCCTGAGTTCCCATGGTTCCTCCGGTTCCACTGGGTTCCCTGAGTTCCCATGGTTCCTCCGGTTCCACTTGGTTCCCTGAGTTCCTGTGGTTCCTCCGGTTCCACTTGGTTCCCTGAGTTCCCATGGTTTCTCCGGTTCCACTGGGTTCCCTGAGTTGCAATGATTTCACTGGGTTCCTTGAGTTCCCATGGGTCCTCTGGTTCCACTGGGTTCCCTGAGTTCCAATGGAGTTCCCATGCTTCCTCCGGTTCCACTGAGTTCCTTGAGTTCCCATGGTTCCTCCAGTTCCACTGTGCGCTTCCAGTAGCTTACGTCTTGACGCATGCGGTACACTGGAATTGTCTTGCGTCAAGCGGCGTGTGTCGCAACAACCCCTGACGCAGATGCACTCGAGGGTTTGCGTTAATATTGTGAACCAGCCTTTTGGCTGCCAGGTTCCCCGAGTGCCTGTGATTCCATAGGTTCTGTGGCTCAATATCGAGTTCCTCAGGTTTCTAACTAACCACTCATTCTTTGTACTAGGAATGCGCACGCGCATATTTTGCCTCGCGCCTGCCAGCCAATGCGTAAACACTCCGAATGAGGCCGCTCGTGCGCGCGCTCTACTGACTGCGTGCGAAGCCAGACTTCCTACGAAACTGCGCGCACGGCGGAAGCTAGACTTCCTACGAATGACGGAAGTGACATTCCTAAGCGTGACTAATTGACATTCTTAAGCGTGACGACACATACGTACGCATATCGCGAGAATACAACCCGGAGTAGTTGCTTCACGCTAACGTGCTCGGCAATTATAATATAAGGAAAAAAGATCATTATTATAAGTAATAAAATAATAAATAATAATAAATTAAGTAGGTAGTATGTAGTTGTGCCATGATGAACTGCAAATGTATATATGTTGGGGACCATTTAAAAACCCGGCCTGTTTTCAAGCCGTCGGACGGCTTTAAAACGGGCCAGACGGCTTTAACTCCGGCCGGCCGGCTTTAATTCCGGCCCGACGGTTTTTAAGCCGGCCCGACAGTAAGCCAGACGGTTTTCAAGCTGCCCCGACGGTAAGCCCGACGGTTTCTAAGCAGACGCTCGGGATACCGTGTCGTTCATTACCGCGCAACGGCTGTTCCAGAGCACGGTCTTTTCCAGCCAGCAGCCTTGCGAGCACGGGTCCGCGCATGAATAAAACTGGGCCGACAGCAGTGTCCTAACCGTGCCAGCAGCTGTTGTTCCAGCGGCGGCAGAGAAAACGAGGGAGGACGTGCTGTCTCGTAGTCACTTACTTCCGCACACGCGTGCGCGATCGATCTTTCGCGCATGGCCGCGCGCATGCGCTGATTGATTGACAGAGTGTGAGGAGACTGAAAGACGATGCTACACACACGTACTACAAAACCAGGACTTTCTGCGGCACCACTGTGCACGATGCACAGAAGGAATGCATTTTGAATGAAACCACTCGCTGCATTTCCCGCACTGAATCATCCGTCCCCGCTCAGGTTCACGACAGTGGCAATAAATGTCAACATCTTCAGTTGACGAGATAAACTTCTTCCTGTCCACCTTCTGATGTGGAAATGGAGTGATGAAGCCAGCTTCTAGGCACTGTAGTATATGGCGACGCATGCTCTTCTGTTCATATTGCAAGGTCGTGGCATGCAGGCCAGCACACACAGCAGCTACATTTGCAATGGCATACAATCCACATGCGGAGCGACGTTGAGGAAGTTTATCTTCAGCTTCCTTGTAGGCGAATGCATGAGGATGGCAATCTGCTGCTTCACCTTCGGTGGGACCGTTCTGTACAAGCTATCCAGCCAGCACATTCACCTCACCCTCTTTGCAGCCAGCAGTGCTTACACAGAGCCAGTGGCTAGCTCCATGGAGCACTTGCACAAACTCTGTACTTTGGGGGGCAAAAGAAAAATTCTGTCCCAAGAGCGTGTTTTGAAAACCTCCAACATGGGGATGCTGCTGCTTCAGTATATTTTGGCTAGCATTTATCAGCACATCACTTAGCCATGTTGCATCCTCCTGAAGAACATCACGATCCCGAAATGGATCTGGCAACCACTTTGGTACTTTTGTCTCTTGTTCAAACTCACCATCACTGCAAAACACAATTTAACACAATGGTGATTATTGTACTAAAGAGCAAACCCTCAGCACATATGCGCATAGCCAGAATCACGGATGGACGGACGGACAGATAGACAGACAGACAGGCACGCACACACACACACTATTGTAACCCTCAAAGTGCATACCTGGCTACGGGGATTGGGGATTTGGATCCTGTTGAGGGTGATGTTGGTGGTGGTGCATGTGTTGCATGATGTGTGTGATTGATGTGATAATGCTACATGTCTGCATAAAGTTCTCTGTCTGTGTTAACTGCGTGGCCTCCTGAGAGTCAGAGTCCTGTGAGTAAACAACACCACGACAACTTGAACCACAACAACATACAGACCGTGTCATGAACCTACATGGCTGGCGCTTGCATTGTCCAGTCGGCCATGCTGTGAACCCACCGGCCTCAATTGGGTATTTATGGTGTGGGTGAATGACCCCATAGTTAGTCAGCACCTTTACTACTTGCACAGCAACTTCTTCCGTGCTTAGGGTGATGCTGTGCACCACCTCTCGACACACCACCGTGCCCTCTGCAAGCGATGTTCCACAGGAAGTCACAAGGATGACTACAAGAAACACACGCACACCGATGCTTATGAAACACATGGGTGACGGTAGGGGCAGCTAGTACCTGCATCACCTGCTGCGATGCGCTCAGTGCGGCTTCTACACAGTGGAAGAGCACTACTGTAACCCGAGACAGACAAGACACACTGAACTCCACACATACCTGGTCTGTGGGGCCTGGGTGCTCGCGTGGGGCATCTGCACTGGCTGGGTGCTGTGATCACCGGCTGCGCTGCGCTCAGTGCGGGGGGTACTACACAATGGAAGAGCACTACTGTAACCCTAACCTAAGACAGACAAGACACACTGAACTCCACACATACCTGGTCTGTGGGGCCTGGGGGGTCGCGTGGGGCATCTGCACTGGCTGGGTGCTGTGACCAGTGTCCCAGTGTTTCAAAAAACCCACACCAGAGATGATGGCCTTCCTTTGCGGACACAGCTACAGGGCAAGTGGTGGACAGCTAGCTAAGGTGTGACAGTGCATGCTGTACTCACAGGACACCTCAGGTCAAAGCCCTGGCCATCATACAAGCGGCGTATTTTTGTCTTCCTGGAGGCGTTCTGTGGCGTAGGCAGAATCAGACATGTAACACAACAGCAGCATTGGAACACAAACATGGCAGTGGGGTGTACATGTTATGTGGTATGTACCTGAGTCAATAGAGATTCTGAGCCTTTCCCTTCACCTCCACGACAACACATGGAAGACGTGGTGTGTCTGAATTGGTGTGATCTATTCGAGGGATTCTGAGGGACACAACATCTCCAACGTTGAACAGAAGTGTCCTCCTGCTGGAGTTGTAACGATGAGCCATCCTGTCTGCTGTCCTAAGGTACTTCTGGTTTGCTTTCAACCGCACCTGCAGTTCCATAAAATAAATAACCTCAAGAGATTATGGCATTAGTCTATGCAATTCACAAAGGATAATATGCTAGGAATACACGCAGAATGCCTCGTGCAGATGCACATGCACACGTTATGAACGTTACACAATCCTGTGTGTAACTAATTGCAATGATGTTCTGCTCTTCATTCACTTGCTAACAACTCACATAAAGATGCTTTTTAGTTGTAGCCAAAGTGGAGGTATCATCGTCATGTGAGGGAGACAGCGAGACCGTCCACCGAGACACTTGGTGTTTTGGAGAGCATGGTGTAGCTGAGTCTGACAGTGTTCGCCGAGGCGGTGAGGGTGAGGCCATCTGCCGAGACGGGCGCTTCGGTGAGGGGGAGTGTGATCTCCTCTGGCGAGATGGATAAGTAGTGTCACAATCTCCGTCAAGTACCACCCCATCTCTCTCAAGGTGTTCCTCCAAAACTACACCACCTGCATTATCTGGGAAAAGAACTGCTCTCGGCTTCTGACCAAACACTAGTTCATAAGGGGAAGAGCCAGTTGAAGAATGAACTTGAATGTTCATAGCATCTACAGAAAAAGAAGCCAATGCGTGTGTAAACAGCCTCTTCAACTAATAATGCTGCACAGTGTCAAGCATTTTTCCAACAGGCATGCAACAGTAGTCACACCATGGATGCAGCTTACAGACTATGCGTGGTAGCATGGACACCCATGGTGGTGACTTGGCTTTCAATCGGCTAATCTCTGCTGAAAGTTTCCGTTGAAGGGTGTAGTGTGCTCGTTCAACCAGGCCCTGGCTTTGGGGGTGCCGAGGACGGCCACTGACGAGCTTGATGTCGCCGTGCCAACTGTTTAGGGTTGTTTGGATGAGTCTATTTACAAACTCCCGCCCATTGTCTGAGTGGAGTATACGTGGAACTCCGAAGTATGGGAATAGTTGCTGTGTTAGAGCAACTGCAACACAGCTTGCTCTTTTGCTCTCGAGTGGATAGGCGAAGTTGAACTTCGACCAGTGATCAACTCAGTGGAGTATCCAGTGAAAAGGGCCATCTGGCAGGTGCCTCATGTCAATGAGGTCAATCTAAAGAATACCATAAGAGTGTAGAACTAGTTCATACAGAGTCAACTTCAATACTCAGGCCATCTATACATAATTGACCTACACTGACATACACATACATAATTCCCAGCATGTGCACAATGTTCGTACCTGCAGCCTTGACAAGAAGCCTTTGGCAATGATCGGTTTCAGGGGTGCTCTTGAGATCTGGGGTTTGGCGGAGTTGAAAACTGGCACAGAGAGACGTAAACTTGATGACCGCACTCCTTGGAACTCCGTAATACATGCTTGAAATCTGGAAGTGGTCATACATATTCTCGTTACCAGCAATATGCCTAGTTTAGCGGTCACGGTGTTATTTCTGTACTTAGCTTGTTGTGCACCATGTAAACATGTAAACCAGCTTGTTTACGTGTTATTCTTTGTCGCGCATGCGGACAGAACGGCGGTTACCATAGCTACGGGCATCTCTATCTGAAGCGCACTCAGTATTTCTCGAGGAAGACGGTGGATACGCCAGCTCTTCGCTACACCACTCTGTGTTGGAGAAGGTTTGACATGAAAAACGTTGTGATGGATGTCTGCCTGCCCTTCTGATGGTGTTATCCAACAAGGAACGGCCCGACCTCTACGCCTGTCCTTTGCCGAGCGGAACCACCTTCCAGAGACTGACTTTTTCTGTTTTTTAGTGAATGTGGTTATTGACACTCATTTGAATGTGATGTTGGTGGATATCAAAGCACCTTCAAGTCCACTGCACGTGAGAAGCTGCGTGAGAAAAGCCACAACTGGCGGGGCGTTTGCTTGGTGGTACGACCGAGAGAGGCCGCGGTTGTTGGGGTTTTGGCCGAACCATTCTTGTGTCTGTAGGCGTGAAGGTTCCACTACTGATGTGCAGGTAGCATCGTCGTAGGTACACAGGCTCTGAAGCGATTATATGACCTTCTGTTTGAGAGCGGGAGTAACGGCCGCCGCTCCACCACCGGTTGGTCTCCTGTCAGACACGCCAATCCAACTGATCTCTAGAGTATTATCTTATAGAGCATATTAAGACACTTCCTACAGGTAGTAGCTTCTAGTAAGCAATAGAACTGATCTCTCTTGCTGCTTTTACCCATACGTTTATCGAAATTCGTCGAAAATCTTCATTTTCGGGCTTTTTTTGACCCGATTTGTCCGCTAAACTTTGTATTGGACCTATATACAATACCGTGCCCATACAAATCTTTGAACCCTCCCCTACAAATATCGAAGTGAGCACCGAGAAAATTCTGAAGCACAACACCAAAACAAGCAGTTTTATGAAGCAAGGCTTCAAAAATTTCATTCAAAATGTACACGTATGATATGGACGAACTGTGTATGAATAAAAATAGGCGTGTCCGCGTACAGGCGCGCCGAGGTGGGCGAATTTGTAGCTCATTCTGGAGAGTAGTAACCATAGTTTGCATCTCTAAATGAGCATCTCTGCCACCACCCCTGAGTCCCGAGAAAACCTGCCGTAAAGAAGAGGTCTCCATTGAAATCAGTACGTTGGCCCCGCGTTAAATTTTACGTGACGTAATTTCGTAATGTCTCATGATTGCTGGTAACGTTGACTTGTGTGGCAATTTGATTCAGTACCTTCTCATACGTCTTGTGGTAACCAGCATGAAGCAGTTCGTTCTCATGAACCTCCTTGATGGTCCTATAAAAGTCCTCCAAGAAAACCACTCAGCGAAAGCTTCCCATGATAGAGTTGTCTTGAACAGCCTGCAGCAGACAGATACGTGGTATTGCACACACGCAGCTACGTTATACATAGGTGGGCTTCGTTTAGAAGCTATGCGCCCCGCCTACCTGCGCTCTAGCCGGGACGACGAGGACGTCCTTCATCCCCAGGCTTGGTAGATCCAGCAGCTGAAATCCATGTTTCTTGATGTAGAGCCGCAGATTCTTGTCACCGGCCGCCGGGTTTCGAACGACCTCCGCTATCTTAGCTCCGAATGAAGTGCGTATAATGCCGCTCGTAC